ATGGGCACGGCTTGGGCTAAAATGCCATCATTATCTGTCGGAGGCCAAGCTCATTGAGGCCGGTTTGAGTTCGGGTAGGTTCCTTACTCAGGTTTTTCTTCTGTTTTGCTTTATTCTTTCGCTTTTTCCTGATGCCGAGTTCATTTTGCAGGTGTGATGGACTTAGAGAGGACTCGCGGTGGGCACCTATTTCACGGCATGAAGAGGAGGAAGCGGGTCGCCAAACGAACTCGTGCCGAGGTGCCCCGAGATGCGGAGCCCGAAGTACTAGACTACCCGTCTATGGATCCGCCTAGGGAGCCCGAGATGGCCCCTCCAGTCCATGAGGCGGTAGGGGCTCCTTATGCCGAAGCTACGTATATGGGGCTCCTGCTTACTCTGAGTCCGCTTACACGCGAGCTGGGCCCTCAGGCTCGGGGGCCCAAGGCGAGTTCAGGAGCGTGTTTTCACCGAACCACGCTTTGCAGAAGAGTAGGGAGGCCATCTATCCTGAGGAGGTCGCGGCATGGTTCGAGCTTCCTTTGAACCAGGTAGCTTGTCGTGTTGCCACTCATGCCATGGTGGTAAGTCAGATTTCTTGTCCGGCTCTTTGCTTTTATCCTTCTTGCTGTCGTTCCTTTGATCATTTTGTTCTTCCCTTTTGGTAGGTGAATTCTTCAATCCATGCCTTGGCGGCCCAAGTGGAAAGGAGCTTGAGGCAGGCGCGAGCTGCCGAAGAGGCTTTCCGTGCTGCCGAGGTGGCTTCTCGAGCTGCTGAGGCGACTGCTCGCGCTGCACAGGCCAGGCAGGCGAGGTCTCAGAGAGATGCTGAGGCCATGGGAGTTGTGGTGAAGCATATGGTGGACCTAAGGCTGGACTTGCAGCATCAAGTAGAATATCTTCAAGAGGATATCAGGGAGAGGACGTAGCCAAGGCATTGAGGACGCCAAGAAGAAAGCCATTGATGAGTACATCGCCTTGCCGCGCTTTGATGACCTGATGGTGGACTCATACAGAAAGGGCTTTAAACTAAGCCGGTGGATGATCCGGAATACATACCCCGAGCTTGATATTAGTACGATATCCACCTCGTGGATTACTCAGGAGATGGCCGACGCCGCTGATGGTGAGCCAGATTCCGAGGGTGAGGCAGGACCTTCGAGTGTTGTCGAAGTGCCTTCTGATGAAGAATAAGCACCTTTGGGCCTGTGAGCTCGATATGTATTTTTTTTTTTTGAAATGTACACTCCCTTATTTTGAAATGGAATGACTCTTTTGGTTAAGTGTTGGTTGTTTTTTTTTTCTCCCGAACTGACCGTATTTGCCGAACTGACCATATGCCCGATCTATTTCTTACCCGGGTTACTGCACACGCGCGGCCTGTTTTGGTGTTAATGCTTAGTCTC